TTTTTTTTTTAGTTTGAAATATCTCCTTCTTTTCCCTAGTGAGGCAGAGTTGAACTAGTATATAGAATGTATCAGTCATCATAKGTCCCAGAAAGTAGCAAACACAACAAAAAAAGTACATCATCTTAGATAAAACACAGTAGATGTTTATTGAAAATTTTGAAGAAGCAGAATTTKTATTTTCATGGTTGAACAAACAACTAAAGTTGGAACATCAAAACACTTATATTAATCAAATCTTTGTGTCTACCTGGGAAAATATAAATCAACCTCTTGTAACTATTAACATGGAAAATTAATATTTTACAAGAACTATCAAATATCCTTGAAAACCTTATTAAAAATATTTTCTCATTCATAAGTTGAAAGTAATAACCACAAAGGTATTCATTTTTTTGTATGTTGTCAAGATGCTTCTATATTTAAACTGATGTGCATTATAATTTTTTTCAGGATCAAAAAATATTGTGGTAACTTAGGCAACTGATATATATCCATTTTAAAATAATTTTCATAAATGGTATTTTACTTTGTGAAGCGAGTACTTTTTCAGTTTGTCTACCTCTCAATTATTTAATAAACACAAAATCATATCTACCTCCATCTAAATGGAATTTTAGTAAGAAAAACCATGCTTTGCATATAAAATGAAGATGAAACACACCAATTTCCTTATGCTTTAAAAAGTTAGCTAAAATGGCTGTATTGAAGAATTATGTCAGTAAACTTAGTTTTGCCAGCTTTCATCTATATTTCATTCACTTGAATTTTGGTTCAGTTAGCTAAATGAAGGGARAAAGACAGGAAAAGTGTGATAGGTTTGTCTACAGGAGGATATTCGTTAGCACAGAAAGGTCGGCCAGGAATGAGGGGAAGATGAAACAGTCTTGCTAGAAAAACTGTCAACCACAACTCCACAGAGTATGACGTTTAAAAATCATCATGACTTAGATTTTAGAGAATTAAACATCACAAACTCATTTAAATAAATCAGAAAGCTTTGTACCCATTTTCCCTTTTCATAGTTATGAATAATATGTTTTTTTTAGAAAAACCCATCTTGCTAGATTAATGCTTTCAAAGGTTCCTAGAGTAGGGCCTAAGTTTTCAAGAACAGAAACAAGACTAATGTGAAATTCTAATTCCTGAGAAGAGCTAAACACCATTTCAGTAATTAATCAATTTAATAAATAAATAAATAAAATCAGCATGTGTCATCTCGTTTTATTTTATTTCAAACAATGGTTTGTCAATATATATAATCTTTTCAATATATTATAAAATTAAGAACGAATTTTCTAGCTATAGTTCCTTTCACTTTGCTAGAATTCAGACATACCTACAAAGTAAAGGCATTTACATTTTTAATCCTTTGGACAACTACAAGTTTTCTTTAAACATAGTAAACATTACAGAAATATAGTGGAGAACCTGTACAAATATGAAAGGAAATGGCAAACTCCCTATTCCTATTCTATCAGCAGAATTAAGTAATTTGGCTAATTTTGAACACAGAAGAGGAAGTTTTGGTGACTCAAATCCTCACAAACCAAATCTTTCTATTTTTAGCTTATAACAAACTTGATTTCTTTGTTAAGATAACTTCTAAGTCAAAATCTGTGTCCAACCCTTATGAATGCAGGTCAGAGAGTGCACTACAATCCCCTGATGTTTTAAACATATCTGATGATATAAAGCTCAAGGTGTAAACGTGACATCAGGCTAGAGAAAGGAGGATTGCAATGTCTCAAGAAAACATTCATTAGAGGAAGATTTTCTTCTGTCAAAATGGCAGTGTAGGATGTCACCAACCAAAGGACTGTGATCAGACAGCAATCTTTTTTCAGTGGTTTACACTGCAGCCCCACCTGTAAAATGAAAATTGAATATTCAGTATTTCCACCGGGGAGCTCTTTGCCAGCTTTTCTGAGGCCGGCAAAGCCACCCAGGCTGCTTTCCAGACACAGAGCCACATCAGTCAGGCACCACTGGGAGGGCAAATTATTTGTCAAATTACCATCTACTTCAGCACTAAATCAGTGGRAAACTGTTTGGGCCTTACCACGTGGTTTGAAACAAAGTTTCTTATTCTTGTAAGCGGAGTAGGCTGCTATTGATCCAACAACCAATATTACAAAAGCAGAAATTACAGGAGATGTAACACCAGCTATTAATCCTGAATCTGTGGAAAAAAAAGAGGGGGGTTTTTTGTTTTGACTTTTTTTTTTTTTCCAGAGGCTCTGAAATGGTTTGTCTTAAGCATATTTTTTACTAAAGTGTGCTTTTACCAAATTATTAAAATAGTTTGGAGAAGCAAACAGAATTAAGCAGATGAGTAGAAATTGTGTTACATTACAGCTGATATAAAAATGGTCCCTTAAAGCCTAATTTATTATATGTGCTACTTTTATAAGGCTAACATTGTTTTAATATTTCATAAAAATCAGAAATAAATTGTAGAATAATGTAAATTATTCACTATACCTGTGTTTGCCCCCTGATTGAAATGATGCTCCTTTTCTCCTGGAATAGAGGGTGAAGTTTCATCAAAAAAAATGTTTTTCATCTTGTTTTGAGAATTAAATCTTTACCGAGCAAAGTGTGATGTTGCACAAAGGACAAAAGGGATAGCCCAGCAGGACTGCAAGAGAGGAGCTCCTTTTTCACTCCTCATTGACAGCTGTGATGGCCAGAGGAACAACTGCTCATCCTCTTGACCCTTATTTTTGGGGAAGAATGTTATAATCTAATAGAAGGATCATACATAACAGCCTACATCAAGATGATTTCCCAGGGAGTCAGTGTACTCTAGCTCTTCTCCCTGCCAGWCATCAGGTGATTTATCAGTAATTTACATCCAGATCTTAGGCTTGGTCCATCTGCTTTAGGACTTTCCTTGCTGAATTCAAAGGGATAAAATGTACAGGTTTCTGGTGTATGCTAGAATGCTACAAAATGTTTTGGAATACATTTCAAATGTTAGCTTCGAGCTCAAAACCATGCTTTTTAATAAGGAATAACTAATCTAAATAAAAAATAGCAGAGTCTGGCCCTRTACTTTCAGAGAAAAAGCAAAACCAACCAACTCTAATTTATAAGTGTTAGGAAGAGATTGCAAGGAAATTTAGCAAATGTTACCTGGTCTAACTGGTGGTAAAGGTTTCCCATCAAGGAGATCTGAGTCATCAAAACCTCCTGCAAGATAAAGATTCCAGCTGCAAAATTATCTACAATGATAACCCCTTCAGCTCCCTTGTCCACTCCTTTTGTAATATTCTAGGGAATGTTGAGGGACATTTGAAATCCCAGCTTTGACATGGTGGATGGGTCACATGTCTTGCACTGAATGGTCACCTACCAAAATTCACCTGAAAGCTGAAGTGACACTGTTGGTGTTTACCTGTTCTGTGTCTGTTTAGGGCACCTGTGGGATGTGTGGGCATGGGCTCTCAGTAACACAAATCCTTATATAATATGGATATCCAGAGTCCCAATGATCCCTGAAGCAGGGAGTCCCTTCCAGGAAAAAAACCCCAGAAGGACCTGGCCATGGCTCACCACTACAGCCATACCCAAGGAAGTACAGGGTGGTAGCCAGAATAGATATGCTACTTTTACTTTATTTAAGTGAGTGTTTGGAACCAAAYTCAAATATAATACAGGCTTAAATGCATCTGCCCAGCCCCACCCGCCGTATGCCCCAGGGYCATCTCAGATACATCTCAGTATGGATTTGAGGCTTTTCCCTGCCCTGTGGCTAGATGTCAAATTTGAACCTCCACTCAGTTCAGTGGAGATACCCAAAATGAGAAYACAAACAAGATTAAGTGTTACTCTCATGTCATTCAGGACTCAGTGTCTCACGTTTTGAGCAGACAGAAAAACTTTGTAGTACCAACACTARAACTCAGAAATACCCTGTCCCAACACAGAAACAGTGACTAAAAAATGAAGATTTAGGGAAAGGATGATAGAAGCTATTACTAGTGAAATAAGAGAGTAAAGTATCAAAATGTCTACTCTGAACTGCTCATAGCACTACATTTTCTTAAGAGCAAATAGTCTTACCAGAATTACCATAACTTCCCGGGCGTGGTGGAAGAGGTGGATATAAAGGCTTTCTTGAGATGTCACCTATTGATAATTAATATGGTTAGATGGCAAAAACGGGAACTGTTAATAAAGAGCAGGAYAATTTGGCATTTTATATCTATTTCTAATTTGTCTTCTCATGTCTTAAAGGACCTTGTCAGTAGTTAAAAAGAATGAAGTGCTATAGCAACAAATATCTAGCTACAAAAACTTGGAGGTGAACAGTGAATATTTTCAAAAGAAGAGAAAAATTCACAAAAACTTAGAAGAAAAAATATTTCWTGTATTTCTGGCAAGTATTTCTTAGCATTGTTTAAGGCTGACAGCTGGGAGGCACAATGTGTCACTATGGGAGTAAGTGATGCAGTTATTCAGAACCAACAGAGAAGCTGATGTTCTAGGCTGGGCAGGAGGCAACAGGTTATCTCATTGCTATCATCAGGTATTAATAAAACCTGCAGATTAGTTTCATCTAACAGATGCTGAATTTATCAAATGCCTGACGAATTTTCTGCTCTTGAACTGTGCAAAATGAATTCAGACTTCAGCTTTGCTGTTGTTTAGGACTTTGTGCTAGCATCTAGCTTTAATTTTTTGCCAAAGTATTAGAAAGAGAAGCGTTGCATAGAGCAGGAGATCTGATGACCAAAAGCAGTTTCCAAACTGCATATACAATGCTGGAGTATCAAGAGCTTACTCAGGTCAAAACCTGTCAAATTTAATGTCCAGGGCAGCTGCTTTGTGTGTTTAGAGTAGGTCCTCATTTGCCATCCTTTTCTCAGCCAATTCAATCACATATTTAACTGTTCTCATAGCCAGACAGTGAATTTAGCTCTGCACAAATCAAAATTACGTCACAGAAATAAACAGCTATTTCCCTCCCCCTCTGTAAAATTACAGGGAGGAATAAATGACAATAAAAACATGGGAATTATTACCATAATTAGATTCAGCTTTGTAAGGTGTGGACTAATATGTCATTCAAACAAAGGGATGAAGTGCCACAGGGGAACTTGGAAATGGGGGGAAAAAACATGTAAAACGTGTCATTCTCTAAAACTGAAACATGAGTAAACCAGACCACCGCAGCTGGTTCAGAGATTCTGTGCAATGGGCTGAGAAGCAATTTTTCTTTTATGTGGCTGTGATTCAAGTGAAGTTTTAGGCTTTTATTCAATACTAATTGCATTTTGGGTAATTTCAGTGTACAAGAACCTTTCTAGAGCACCTCACATCCTTGGTATATCTTTACACATACTAAATAAAATGGGATATGAAAATTCCCAGCCTCAAGGATTCCATATGTCTGCACAGCTCAGAACAGTGATGTGAATACTTCCCAGGTCAGGTCTGGGTGTTATGGGAATACCTGGAAGTTAACAGCGTGTTACATCAGCTTGACTGCTTCAAGCTTAAGCTGTATCATCAATGCTCATCTCTGAAACCTTCCTTCCTGGATTTCTAATTTGCCATCAGCAGAGCTACAAGAAGCTCAAACCTGTCCATCCAGCGTTATCTCTGATTCCTAATCTCAGACAGGCTCATGTTTGATAGCTGAAGAAACTGCAGCCATCCCCTTCTTCGAGCTTCTGTCAGAAGACACCACTCTGAACCATCACAACTGACTGGRCCACACTTTCTGTGCCCAGCCATGCCTGGGGTGCTCTGTCATGGCACAGTAAGTCCCAGCCAACTTCAGTCCATGCAAGTGGGGCAGCTGGAAGCTCCCAAGGGTAGATGGTGACAAGATGCTGTCCCCATTCTGCATGGCGGCCTCAGGCAAATGGGCTGCATGCACATGGGTTGTAATGACACACATGACCAGAGCACCTCCTGCAGTATTGAAATATCTTTTTACAAATTAGGCAGAGTTCAGAAAAGGAATGTGAAAGACAAAACACCCTTATATTCAAGAAAACTAGACAGTACTCACCCCCACCAAGAGCATCTCCTAGATGTAGATCATTGTCTATAAATTAATAGGAGAGAATGTAGAATAGTGAGTTAGACACAATTCTTGAGGGAAAAGAAATGTTATTTTCATTAGAATGTGTGCAAGTGACTGTTTGAGAAGCACTTTTTYCAGGTCTGTCCCACACTACACTTTTCCTGAAAACTCTAATAGAATCTAGTATTTCCCCACACACTAATTGACAAATAGCACAGTATTTTCTACTCAAAACATGAAGGCTTTTTTCCCTTCTTTAAATGATGTCAAAGTAAATCTTACAGCTGACTCAAGATCRATACCTCTTTAATATATCTGCAAGCACCACAATAAAATTAGCCATGTTAACATATATAGATGCACTCATTTAAAAATATTATTAATATTTATGTCTCTGGTTAAAATTGGCATATGTATGCTTGGCTTAAGTGCAATTTATTGAACTGCAAAAACTTATTACCCATTTCAAGAATAAATACTAGGAAGCAACAAACCTACTTGAGGAGAGATTGAATCAACTAATCAATGTAAGGGACAYGGTGACCCTTCGCAATCATATGTGCCTGTCTGAGGATGGGTGACAGTCTGTTTTTCTTTGCAATAAAGATTTTTACATTGACTTAAACTTCTGTATGTGCATGTTACAGGATAAATCAGCAGGCTGTGACCATTGCCCAGCACTGCACACGTGTCTCGCTGTACCTGGGACAGAATTCTCCATCCAATAAACAATTTGTCCATCAACTGCAGACCCATAAAGAGGAACTCTGTTCCTAACATGCAGGTGTGGACATGAGTAAATGGGTGATATTTCAAAGTGTATATGGAATGATGGTGAGTTCTGAAAGCAATACATTGGATGGATGTCACAACTCCAAGAATTCCTTTCTTGATGCTTATAAGTGTGAAGTGACACAGTGAAGCAGAAGAAAAGGGACTATCTAAATTTTGGTACCGGTGCTTATTGCAACAGACAATTCAATAGACTCTCAGTTAAACAACATTTTTTTCATTGTAGATGTGTCAGAATTCCCAAAACACAAGAAAATCACAATGCAGAAGTCTATTTTCTTCTATTCTTTATACCCAGAAGGAGTGGGAAGTTGATTTTTCACAGTATCTAGTCTTATTTGGGTAACAACTCAGAAATGCTTTGATGTCACCAGGAAATCTGACAGGAAAATAATCAAATTCATAATGCATGACTTGGTTTGTTCTGGTCAGGTGTTGATCCTCCTTGTGTCTTCTGAGCAGMGAGCTGCATTTCAAAAATACCTTTACCTGTCAAATGCTAACGCTGTAAGAAGTGATAAATTGAAAACTGGATTCAATTTATTATTGAGATGAAGAAATCAGGTAAAATGCAAGTTCTGCTCGGGAGGCTTCATGCTAAGATTTGTTGCAGAAATGCTAAGGTTGATATGAATSAAATAAAAATGGAAATGCATTTTTCTGTAGGGACTAGAAAAATCAGAAAACTGTTAAAAGAACAGACAATAAAGTCACAATTCCCAGCAGTAAACCTGAGGAATGTGTTGTTTCTGTCAAAACTAGCAGGTCTGTGCTCCAGTAAGATAACAGYTCAGATGACTTGCCAGCAGAGGAAAGGCAGAAAGCCATTTTAATATCAAAGGTTGCAGCATATTACTACTTTTCCTGATTGTCCACCCAGAAAACAAATCTACATACCTAGCCCAACCAAGGGTTCAGAGACACTGGAATAAGAAATATTACGAGGCAAAGGACTCTATAATATCTAATTACTCCTAAAATATATAAAATATCTGTGGGTTCTACTTGTCATTTCTGATCAAGAGGAAGCCCAGGGACCAGATTAGAGTTCAGCAGCCGGCATGCTTTGTTTCATGTTGCACCAGACCACCTAAGCACACACATCTTGGTGCTCATAAACATGTGGGTTTGAGGATATGGCTGAATTGAACAGAATGCAGGAACAATGAGAGTGGGTAAAAATCAACTTCTTTGAGATTTTGTAAATAAGACCTAAACTTGTTGTGTGGGTTAATGTTACCCAGCATTTTGCTTGATAGATAGGAATTTTTTGCAGTATAGTTTAGGTGAAAAAACTATGTCATTATAAATTGTTTCATCACAAATGCCATTTTGTTCTTGTTTGGAATTTGGGTTTTTTCAACATTAACAAATATTCACTGGAATTTATTGTTTGGCATTCTCAGGACTACAGCTTTCCACTGTTCGGGGCCTTTTTTCCTTTCTGACAAATGTGGTTGTAGCAATCAACACTAGATAATATGAATCAAATACATGGTGAGAAGAAAGAATACCCCCAACTTCCATCTGATTATTTTCCAAGTTTGTTATCAAGCATCATAAATGAATATACAAAAAGTAAAGATAATGGGGAAAAAAGTAGARGAAGAATTAGCCATTTTTAGCAATAGTTATCCATTGTTATACTCCCCAGGGCCTTCAGTAAAATCTGGAAAAGTGTGAAGATCTTCAGGAAATAAAATACCATCACTGCCAGCCATGCTCCAAAGCCTTACTGGAAGCATAAATGGTATGTAATTGGTAACTGTCAAAAAAGCATTAATTTTCCATAAAGAAGGCAGCTATTATTCACACATGATCTCAGCTAAAGCACAGGAGCAAATATGATTAAGAACCTCACGTGAAAGTTTCTTAAATATACAAAATCAGTTTTATAACCCATTATTTGTTACTCACTGAACACAGGTCTTGTTGGTCTTCTGATCACCGTAGGCTTCCTGGTAATTATGTCATCTGTTGGAACAATGACATGCCAATAAACAATAGCAGCTTCAATTTAACCAAAGCAGGCATCTGCAGAGAGCTGCTTTCAATAAATCTTTATGTATCACAGCACAAGCACAATATGAAGGGATATGTTTTCAAAGTCATTTATTGTTTGTTTGTTTTAAAATTTTCATTTCATGACAGGAACATTGAAATCTACAATTTTCCTGTTCTGTATATCTTTAACTTAAATAGTAGCCACTTCATGTTCCATTCCTCAAGGAAAAAGATTTAAGATTTGTTATTTGGTGTAAATGCCATTGTAAAATAAGGATAGACAATTTACATACCAGGGTGATCCAGGGCATCAGCTAAATCAAAATCACCTTGACCTAGAAGGAATGTGACAGAAGATACACTAAGTCAGCAGGCAGGTTTGCATGACCTCCACACCTGAGGGCTCTGTACAGAGCCAGAACATCAGTAAAAGGCAAAAGAATGACCCATCCAAAGAGCAGCAGGCACAGAACAAGCCTGTCATCCCTGTGCAGCTCAGTCCTGAATGACTGTGAGAGATGGGCTTATCTAATTCAAGAGTTGTTTGTTCAGCTAGGCCAGAGAGAAGCTGCTCTCTCTGTTATCATATTCAGCTGCTGTGCAAACACCCCTTTGACGAACACGGGCTGCCTGCTGGAGGGCACGGGGCTGTTGCCAGGAGACAGCTGAAAGTAGCATTCAGCAGAGTACTTGTGAACCAAAATCATTAGGTGASAATTTTTAATATCCTCATTATTATTTTACTAGCTTCAGCAAGCAACTGTACTGGCAAGCCTTCCTTGTGATCACTTGCAACACAAATCAACTTTGGTTTTTTAATTCTTAATGTAACATGGGCCATAAGCAAAAGATACTAAGATGTKTTTATCAGATTTAGTTTCTGCTGTACCTTAAAAAATCTGAAAAGGGGGAAAAAATCCTTCCTATCCTGTTAAGTGATAACAATGTCTTTAAATGTCTCAGCAGAGTAATTATCATCCTTTCACAACTTTGAAGTTAGCAGGCAATTAAAACTGGAAAATGTTTTCAATGTATAAACGGAAACAGACAACTTTGAACACACACAGTTATTCATGTGAGTTTTACTTTCAACTCTACAATCTGTCACTTTCCTTGTAATACACCTTCATGAAACACATCTTTGCAGAATACGTGTCCATTGGTTTTTATCCATGGTGACGCATCATCCTTGTGTTTGCATTCCAAACACAAGTTCAGCCAACACAAACCCATGAACAATCATGACATGCCATGACTTCCCTAAACACAAAAGTATGATTGTGTTCCATCGAGTAAGCCTCAAGCTGCTCTTGATCTGCATATGTTTATTATCCCTTCTAAATGGCTTAATACCTAACTCTCCATTGAAGTGTTTTCTTGGTAAGTCATGAGCACTTCACAGCAAGAAAAGCGTCATTGTTCAAGTGGAGAAATTGAGGAACAGAGAGAGGCTGTCAGAAGTTTGTCAGCCCAACAGTGCTCTGGGTTCAGCTGAGCTCCTTCATCTTGACAGGTGCTGTACGTCTTCATGGCATTCTTCTCATTAATCACTGTTCCTGAATAATAGCTCTTGCCTGTGTCAAAGAGCTCCCAGAAAGATTAATTATCAGTGGTGAAACACCATGTGATCCTCAAATAACAGTCAGCGCAGGAGCATAAAATAGAAATGTTTTGATTCCCATGAGGATTTTAATRTAGTCTGTGAACTTAATTATAACTGGGGTCTGATGGAAGAGATGGAACAAGGCTGGAATGCAAAGTAGGAATGGCTTCCAAAGCAAAACTGTCCCAATAAAATATTATGAGGAATTCAAGTTTGGTAAGTAAAAACAGGTAACAGCATGCGGTTTTCCCAGTCATGTTGGCAAAGTGGTGTGTTATCTGTTCTTGGAGTGTTACCTCATCTGGYCACCTCTCCTTCCTCTGCCCTGGCCACTCAGACAACCTTGCCAAATACAGGAACCTTTGGATTGGGGCTTCAGGTGGATAATATTCATGGAATCATAGAATCACATAATGTTTTGTGTTAGAAAGGATCTCAAAGTCATGTATTTCCCACTCCCACTGCCATGGGCAGGGACACCTTCCACTAGACCAGATTCCTCAGGGATGCATCCAACCTTGGGCACTTCCAGGGATGGGGCATCCACAGCTTCTCTGAACAACCTGTTCCAGTTCCTCCCTACACTCTTAGCAAAAAAAATAAGCCTTCCTAAGATCTAATTTAAAACTACTCTCTTTCAATTTAAAGTCATTATCAAAGCATTATCTAAGACTCTGACAGGTTTGGTTTTTTTTTTTTATAATATTAATCCATAAAATGCATAAATTTATAAAACAGATAAGTTGCTTCATCAGAAGATACTTCCTGCCAGAGCCCTGTGTGCACCACCAGCCCTTACTGGCCCTGAGCTGCTGCCCATGGACTGTCGCCCCAGCCATGGGACCCTTTGACCTTGATGCAGATACACTACCCACAGGCTGACATCCTGGATATGTCTTGACTTATATGGTCAAATTCTATTTTTCTGTACCATTTCTTCAGTGCCAGCAGTACAAGCAACTTAAGCTTGATTGTTCTTTGATTCAGACCTGCGGTAAAAGCCTCATTTTTGATCAGCATCCTGAGTACTGGAGGAGGCTGTCTAACCTGAACCCCATTGCCTCAGGATACCGCCATCATCGGTGGCTAAAACCATTTCTTGTTGGAGTGAGTCATCGGGAATATTTTTGTAACCATAATCAGAATGAGAGTCATGAGAAATAATTTTGTAATGCTGAAGAGCTGTTGGTCAAACCAGCTTCTTTGTTACAGGTCATGACACGCAGGAACTAACAATATGGAAAGCAGCTACTGAGTTCCTAATGCTGTAAAGAGAATGTGACAAAATCATCTTGTGAAGGAAGACTATGGAAAACTTTCAGATATAGTACTTCTTTGAAGTTAGGGAAAAATAAAAATAGAAGGTGGACTCTAATGACATTATAAAATTCCAGCAAGATGATGCAGAGGCTTTCAGTTTCATGAGAACTAAAACAAAATAGCAGAGTGGAACAGTTATTAACACCTGCCTTTTTCCTGGACAGGACCARTGGTTCCCTCTCCTGTTGTATGTCTGTTTCATTACCAAAAAGGTGGGAAAAGGCAAAAGGTGTTGGTTTGCCACTTCAAGGGAGAAACAGAAGAAAACTATAGAAATTATAAGAAGAGAAAAAAAGAAAACTGAAAATCTTCTGCAGAAATTATTCAGATTTATTTTTATTTAATTATTTCTAATGATAAACCAAGCATTAAAAAAAGACTCCAACACAGAATGACTGCTTGGGAATAAGACAGGAATCCACACTGAAATCTCTTTGACTCTGTAAATATAAACCTTGACAGATGGGCAGTTTGTATGAGGACATCTGTGGAGCATGATCAGTGATACTGAAATAAACCAAAAGATTGCTTGGACTTCCATCCCGACTTCCTCTGATAATAACATCAAATGACCACAAGGAGTAAGATTCTGTGGAGCAGAATTTCAAATGCTCATTATAATTTCTGAGACTGCATCTAGACATTTTAAGAATCTAATTTCGGGGGATAAAAGATGGTTAAATAGCTGGACAGCTCAGACTTCATCCAAACAATGGTGGGTCTAAAAACAAAACCAAATTAGAGTCTCAGAGAATATTTAGCTCAATAGGAACTAAAGTCACTTCAGGGAACTCCAAAGATAAATGACAAGGGAAATAAATTGATGAAGCTTCTCCATGGAACAAACAGTGTGAAARAAATAAATTTTCCACATATAAAAATTACCTTTTTTTTTGCACCAGCTTCCATAAAAGAAAGAGTTGGAAATATGAAAAAGAGAATGACATAAATTTTAGTGGGACAGGAACAGCTTTGTCCCTTTGGGGTTTTTTATTTGTTTGGGATTTTTGTGTTCGTTGCTGTTTCCTTTGTTGTTTGTTTTTTGTTTGCTTGTTTTAACCTGGATAAAGTTACAAAGAGATTTAGCTGTGCAAATGGTATTACCTCTGGGGCAATCTCTGGGGTTATCTCTGCTGTTASTGCTTTTTGGCTAGCATGCTGTTCCTTGGCATTACATCTAACCTTTCTTCTGGGAGTATCCCTGTTTTGACAAAGAAATAAAATGACTGGAATAATGTTTTTTGTTGGGTGGTCCTCAATGATTCATAACAGAGAATTTAGGAAAATGCTTATAAGCTCCTGCTGAACACAACACAGTCCTTGCAAAGTCATATCTTCAGGCACATGTGCATTCGGTGTGCACAAACTTTGAACATTAATTTTCTGAAAATGTGACCCAAATATCCAGCCACTAAAACACAGACAGCAACATCTTTTTTCTATGGTTTAAGTTGTCGTCTAAATGGTAAATGGATCCACCACCCTTTAACTATGCAGGTGTTTGATCACAAGGGTCTGAGATCTCACAGCTTTTGAGTAGAATTTRTGAGAAACGAGGCTAGTTTTCTGCAGGTGGGAGTTACCAGCTGATCATCACAGAACAAGTCTGAASTTTTCTGACAAAAGGCTAACACTGCATCACTCTGCAATTTTTGATCTCTGTCAGTAGGCTCAGTCCTGCACTAAATCCATATGAACACAGCTTGTGGCCCTTAAAATGACACAGATTTAAACAAGGCAATAATGAATATTGCTAAGTGAGGGTCAGGTCATGTGACAAATGAAATTAACTTCTCAGCCTTTTAACATGCACAGCCTAGTATTAAAAAAGAAGTTAAAATCCATGAGAAAATTTGTTTGTATGTGTTTATACATGTTTCTGGACACACATCTAAAATGTATATATGCACATATGCGTTAGATAAAAAATTTTGTTGCTAACATGATCAAATTAATTGGTTTTGAGTGCATTGCTAGCAGTCATATGTTTGGGATGACATTACCTGTGTTACAAATACATTAGAAGAAACTCACTTCTAATTGTGATATAGATAGAAAGGGAAAATAAGTTGATTTTACAGTATTTAAAGACATAAATGAGTATGATTTCTTCAGTGCAATTAAATAGGAATTGTTTTGTGAACACAATGAGCTTAAAACATTATGAATCTGGCAGAGACTGAGAAAGAAGTCGGTGACTCAGAAATGAGAAAAAAAAATTGTAAAAGGGAACAATATGTTACCAAAATCACTCATGAGACTCATTTTATGTGTTTATTTTTTAGCTAAAATTGTAAGCTATTCTCTRCACAGACCATTTCTGGTTATAATACAATCATGAAACCTATTTCCTCCATAATGAGAGAATGGGATGTATTTTCCCATGCACGTGATTTAGAACATACCTGTGTACTGGTCCAACTTTACTCAGGAAGCAATTATGTTTGTTTAAAGGAAATTACTTATTTTTGTGAGAACATAAATGTTAACGCCCCAGAGTGGACACTGTGGACAAAATCTCAATGATCAGGTACTATTTCTTTCATGTAATAGCCTCATGATCCATATTTCCCTACTGCAGCTTGTTTCTCCTTCAAGGACCTTTAGTTTCATAAACAACAATTGCCATAACAACCCCTTGATGCTAGGGTGGAAAATGAGTATGCTTTACAATCTATAATTAAGACCCAAGGTCCAGTATACAGACCACAACATGTGGACCTGATTATTGGCTTCATGGTTTTTGCTAGGTCACTTCTGGTTATAGTTTAAATTCAAGGGAAATGAAAAGGACTGTCTTGCTTGTGCATACAAGAATACATTTCAATAATTACCAGCAGCTAGTAATAAAGCAGGAGTGGCAGTATTGCTTTAGCTCTGTGAAGCATAGTCTCACCAAACCCAAAAGAAAATCTTCTAGTTCTGTGATATTTGCCTTGCTGTTCAAAGGCAACTGAGGTTCTTTATGATCTGCTATGCCCTGYATACATAAAATGAAACAGATATAATTTTCTGTATTTTGCTTCAGAGTGAGCTCAGAAGCATCTGGTGTGTGCTGTACAATTGCAGGCAGAGTGAAAGATTTGGGATTTTCCATGAAGGAACACTGTTCATCTGTGAACCTTGCTCAGATTTTCAGCTTTGTGACATGAGGCTGCAGAGCTTAGCCCGTGGCGTGGGCTCTCTGAGAGAAGCCAAAGCTTCTCTCTGTCATGTAGATTCATGAAACTTCCAGCTCTTTCCAGCCATTTGCTCTGAGAGTCTCAGCTTTAATGATGGTCACATTACATGAGAATTGTACTCAGAGACCTGTATGAGTGTTCTTACTGAAATCCTCAGTGTGGCACAGTTGTGTTGGGCTCTCTGAGTGACCACTTGCTGCCTAGGTACCAGCAGGCTGATCCCCTCTTTCTCCAGTGCTTAGTTTTGAGACAGCAGACGGAGCTGAATGTAATACAGGTGGTCAGGAAGATGTCAATCTTTGCTGTTCCTCTTGCTCACAGAGTGTCTTTTAATGTTCCTCTTCCCACTTTCATACCAAGTACACTGGTAAAATCCATGCAAAATACCTCTTGATCTTCAATATGGATGGCCCCTTGTTCCTTCACCACTGGTGTAATAAGACCAGGGATATAAGGAAGGACTTTAATTTGTCTGCTAATCTTAGTGTCTTCTCTGGCCTTTGCATTTATTTAATCAGTAGCATTGTTACCCTTTGAAAATGTATATCTGTGATTTAAATTTTACATCAATTCCTCAGGAATTAAAAAAAACTATTGATAACAGGCAAAGCTTATTCAGTGGAAGTGAGACCGTCATATTTTCACAGCCCACCCAAGCCCTTTCTTTCAGCTGGGATGGTGTGTTTTGCCTTCATGAGATATTTTACTGCAGGTCAGATTTATGCATTTTTAGTATTTTCTCCTATGTTCATGGATGTCAGCCTGTGGAAAGGAAGACTAATCAAAACGAACTGAATCTCTCTCCTCCTACTATGAGGCAAAATTCTACAAACGGGTCCATTTGTATATATTGCTAATCTTGAAAGAATTCTGGTTTTTATTTGTTATTTATTACCCTCGGTGGGATAGAAAGGGATTGACAATTGTTGGTGCAAATAAGTTGAAAATACATACTCCAGGTAGGTTGGGCACTGCTGCCAGGCTTGCAATGTGGCAGCAATGTTTGAAAAGTGACCCATAGAAGGTGAGTAACTTCACCAGTTGTTTTCTCTTCCCAAGCTCTGATCTTGCAACACCTCTGCCATTGTTAGTATTTCAACCAGTTCAGGTACGTTAATTTTTCAAACTGCAATCACACCCTTAGCTGATAGCACTGACATGCCTGATAATCACAGTTCAGATCTTGGGAGTGAAATAGTTTTGGCAGTCAGCAGAAGAGAATTTGTTGCCTGCTGAATCCGTAAGTGCTTCGRCACGTCCACAGGGACCTCACACAGAATAGTAGTGAGGACTGCAGCTAYATGGAACAGTGTAAGAAAAACAAGACTGTTTTTTCACTCTCCTGTTCTGTCCTTTAACTCCAGAGAAAACTACATTATTCACAGAACTAAGACCCATAAGTCTCATAGGRTCTTAAATTCAGTCTGCAATTTCCTCCCCATAAAGTGCACAGCTAATTAATTGAGACTACAATTGATTTTGAGTCAAAAGCCATGTAACCTTAGCTGAACAGAGGTGCATGCTTTACTGACTAGCAACAAATGCTGTTCCCTTTGCCTGTGTAGATTCAATACCTGATGAAGTAAGTGTAGACCATCTCAGACATCATCAATCTTTGCACTGTCTTTGTCAGTGGCTAAAGTTGTGATCTATCAGTCGACATTAAAGATCATGGATGTATAGATTATATCTGYATTGGGAGCCTGAGGAACATTCTAAGCAGTCAGGTCTGAGTGAGAGTCTCAGCTCCTTTCAAGGGAGAGACCCCAGGTTGGACTGATTCCCCACTGCAGGTGTGCACATAGGTTTGTGGCCCAAATGGACATATTTTTCAAACAAATACGTGATCTGAGTTACTGGGGAGCAAYCTCAGTCATGTCTGAGCACATCTTAAATGGGCAGTGTGGACACAGCCAAATCTGGGTGGCCAGAGATCAGCCAAGCTGCAGTAACTAATGAGGGATGTTACCATGAAATTCAGTGGAAGGCATTTCTGTGAAGTTCAGTTCATTTGGATTAGGCTAAAAGCCTCTCAGACAATTAGCTGTTGAAGCTCAAACATATCGGAGTCTTCATGTAACCTACCTAAATTTGGAAATTACAAAAACTAAAGAGTGTAGCTAAAAATGAAATACTGCAGTGAGCGTACACATTTCTGAACTGTATCAGATTTCACTTTCCTTGTGCAATACGGTTCTTGGTTCTGCCATGCTTCTGTTGAGGTGTGTCCATCAAGGTAGTCTGGGCAACTAACTCAAGATAGCAGGGCATAAAGGAAATGCTGGATGGTAAGATGAATGATGTTATCTGGTCTGGCTGTGGTGGGCCAGTAGATTCTGGATGCTGTCACAGGTGGTTACAACTTAGAAAAGCATTAAGTTGCCCATAAAAGAGTGAATCATCCATGGACATTCCTATCCTAAGAACTTAGACCAGCTTTTCACCAGCATGGCCAAGCCTTTCTCATATCATGTCTTGATTGGGACTGAGAAATGGTYCTTGTAAATATCTCCTGAAACATTGTGAATACTTTGATGATAAAATTCAGTGTCTGTTGCCACAGACTTGAAATAATTAATGTGTGCTTGTCAAAGTGGATTAAATTGTTTCCAGAGTCATAAGAGCCTAGAAAGCCCACAGCAACTTTCTGCAATGACTTCTTCCCCAAAGCAGAGCCTGAACTGGCTCTAAATTAAYGCATGTATAAATCAAGAATGATTAGGCTGACTACCCTTATAATTAAAATAGTATATGCAAATTGGCTTGCTCATGCTCAGATTGTCTGAACAGAACTATTCAGCATAAGACAGTTACAGAACAAGAAAGTCTGCATGCCAGAGGTGAGAGACACATGAATCATCACTGCTCACAACACAGCACGCAGGGCAGCACAGTCCTACTGCTCTGCTCTTTCTATGCCATGCTAAATGCTGAAGACCTCAAAATAATTCCTCATTTATTAAAATCAAAGCACTGAACTAAGTTAAGGTTTTTTTTTCACTGCCCACCACTGCAAGATTTCCTAGGGACTTTGTTTAAATCAGAGATTGTGGGAGGATCATCAGCAGCAGCTATTTTGGAACTAGAGATTAATGACTGATTTCTTCCTGCAGCCAACATTGCACCAAAAGTTTCTGCAGAATTGCTAACATACAAAATAAGAAAAGGTTACAAGTACACCACATGGTAGAAGCACACAAAGATTATTCTATTTCATTTGACATCAAGAAAAGTTCAAAAGAMTGTTTTGCTGAAAGAAATTAATTTGAATATAGTAAAATGACTCAGTATGAAAAGGCTAAATTTTCCCTACTGATATTCATTCATCAAAAATATATATGTGCAAAATGTATTCAATTCTTAATCATTCCTGCATGGAAAAGGAATGCTTGTGTGTGGAATACATTAACTAAGGTTAATAAACTATGAGTGTATTATTATTAAAGCATATGCACCAATATAAAAGCATTAATATCTTTAAACTGAATCAGAATTTGGTTTTACAATAAAACTAATAGGTTTCAAAATATCAATAACCAAGGAAAGCTTTAAAACATGAACAGTTTTTGACTAAGGATCTCTTTGAAAACTTTAAGTTCCCCTGGAAGCTCTCACTTCACAGCTTTCATTTAAAAGTTTGTACTCAAGTATAAGCTTGTGAGTAACTTCGTGGAAGCAACACTAGCAAAAACATAAGAAATCATAATAAACAAACTTCTACTAGCATAGCTATTATGAGTGATACTCCAAGAGATACATATCTCTTTAGAAACTGGTGAAGTACATATAAACACTCTTGAATACTTCTCATGAACCAGTAGCMACAAAAAAAAAACCTTCTAGCAAGCATTTCCAAACTAACAAGCATGCTTTTTAAAGGTTGGGGATTTAGGCTGTTTGGTTGCCTTTTTAAAAATATTTCATAATCTTGCCTTGAAATAAGCCAAGGTAAAGGTCACTTACCTCTTACATGGACTAGAAGGAAGCCAAAGCACAAAAGAAAAATACTTCTGAATTTCTCCATGCTCTTCTACRCAGTGCCTTGACTGCACTGGTTGTTTTTTTTCCAAGCAAGGACGGTAAGTGTTGTAGCTGCAGTGCCAAGGTTTGAGGAGACACTTGGAATCAGCAGTTCTGTCCAAGGAGGTCTCTCACCAGCRCACCCAAGCTCTGCGAGAGAGAGAGAGAGAAACCTTTTGGCGTACAGAGCAAGTAACAAAAGCAAGCAACCCTGCCAGGGCCAAGCTGTGAGCAGCACGTTTTTGGAGCATGTGCCACCTGTGCTCCAAAAAACCTATTTATCAGCCAGGCAGGAAGCATGGAGAGCTGGGGAAGCAGTGRCAGCACCCAATGGGGAGGGAGCCAGAGCACTCTGGATCCACCTCCTTCCCAGCGGGGAAAGCCAACCTGTTTGACATCCTCACCTTCAAAGCAGGGTGTGGTGCTGTGGGAGCTCAAGTAGCTTGTAAGAGGAGACCRTCCTCCTCTGAAGCATGCTTGAAAGAATCAGACACACTCTGCTCTCAAAGCATCACTTTCCTCCTTGTTTCTTGGCTCAGTGATAACAGCAGATAAAGGCAATCCTGTCAGCCTTAACCCGTTACTTGGGCCACCACGGGATGGAGGTMAAGAATCCCCTTTGCAGGAACTTGGATTGGGTACACAGGGATGACAAAAAAAAAATCTGATTTTATAAACTTAAAATGCGATGTTGGACTACTGAACTGAAGCATGCTCAGCTCCCCAGTGGATGCTTATCTTGACAGGTAAACATAACCCATCATTACTGTTTCTATTGATCTAGTCTGGGTTGTTGTTTTTTTTTTTTTTTGTTTGTTTTTTTTTGTTTTTTTAAATGTAAATCTCCATGCATATCCTACATGGAGAGAATCAGAGGTGTGATGATACAAAGCTTTAGAAAACAAACAAAAATCTCTATCTGTAGATGGATATACTTTCAAATTACCAGTGATTTAAATCCAGTTTTGTCCTAGCATTTCTCTAGCAAACACATGTGCCAACACTCTTGTCCTTTGAGCTGGACTGCAGCCATCGCCCTGGTGCCCAGCACCCTCCAGGTGACAGTGTGCACCCTCCCTTGTGCTGGGGGAAAGTGCAGGGGCTTTTGTCAGTGCTGTGGTGTCTAGGGCAGCCAACAGCTCAGGATTCTGCTACCCTGAGTGGCCAATCTGAACAYTCGTGGTGTTGCTCGGTGATTCAGCCTGATGTAGGACACAGGCTGCCCCCAATTTCATTTCTGTTACCCAGAGTTACCCAGAACATACAACTGAACTCATGCTTTTATGTTGACTGCAAAAAGCAGATGCAACATCGTACACTGGACTGAGAAAACTTGGTGATACTGGATCTTCAAGAAGCTTGATGTGCARGAAGGTCAACTCCCTCCCTCTCCTGACCAAATTTGAGAAAGCAGAATGGTTKATAAAGGTCTGGTTTATAGCTCCTAATAGCTCTGAAGTTCAATTTGGGTATCATCATTCCCCATATCATGGCCAATTGCTCAATCTTAGAAGAGTTAATGACATTGAGGCTGAAGAGGTGACTTTTTCAGCCAGTTAAAACAAGAACTATACCATGAAATGAGCAATCCCATAAATCCACTGTTTGGGTTTTTTTTTTGCCCCAGAATACCAAAAGCAGGCCCACATGTGCTGATCTTCATATGTGATGCATTTGCCTGAAGGGAACASGAATGCTGGCACTGGTACCAGTCTCAGGCAAGTCCGAACAGCTCACGTATGTTCAGTAGCTTTACTTTGAAACAGTTGTTCCTTTAAGTGAAGTCTTCCCAAAATGCATTKTCTCACCTGCCTGCTGATACAACTTCATTGTGGTATTGATCATTCTCAGATATAAGTTTGAAGATGAGGCACACCTTGTTTAGTTCTTCTGAAGCCAGCTATTGCCCTGTCTAGCTAAATAAAAACAATATGAAGGTGGGCAGTACTGGAAGGAGTGGATCGATCTAGTGTAGGAGTAAGGATGTCTTGAATACTCATCCTATTCCTGTTCTTGGGGGCATTGCATGAACTTCCTMATCTCAGTTCTGTCAAAAACAAGCAAGGGCTTGCCCAAGATAGCAAGCAAAAAMTATTGTATATTAAAAAGAAATATGTGGGCTAATACCTAACCATAACTTGCAGTTCTAACACTTGAAAAATCATTGATCCATCATTTTCTCTTTAAAGAAAAGCAAAGTTCTGCCTATTATTCACATGACATGGTAGATGAATTGCCTGTGTTTTTAACTTGTCTTCCGAGGAAAACCCCAGTATTTTAGAAATAGCAAATGGGGGTAGAGAAGGAGCCAGTGTGTCTGTCTGTTCTCCACACCACATACTTTTTGCCCATCAGGCCTCTTTCAGATGAGACAAGCTAAAAGGGAAAAAGAGTTCAGTCACAACTCATCACAGTGGCAGCCCCATCTTGCTGTGGGCAGAGGTCAGACAAGGCTCTCTTTGGCATGGGTAACCTCATCTATGTGTCTGTTGGAGATGAAAGAACTGAATTATACACTAGAACTACTTGGGAACGGCACTAATATCTTACACTACTCATCTTTTGTCATAAAAACAGAAGTACTTTAATTAAAACATGGAAGCATCCAGTAATATAAACCATTCATTTAAAYGTAAGCCAAACACACAAGCGAATTGGTGATACAATCTCTTAACAACAGAAGAATACAATTACTACATACTAGCCAAAACTTCAATGGTTTTTCTCAAGTAGATTGAGCATGTATTTTATGCCTGTAGGTCTCAAAGTACTCCAAAAGCAGGGATTTGAAAAAGTTGTATTTTTGCTCCATTTAAGTCTTCCTATTCCTAATAACCTCTTCCTTTCAAATGTGCCTTCTGTACCATCTATAGCTTCCTTCACAATGTTCTCAAGTGAAAAGCACACACAGAACAGTGTGTTTGGGATGGTGGCCTTTAATAAGTGAAAAAAAAACCCACAGAAAAGCAGCATTGAAAATGTAACTCAGCCCAAGATACACTGAAACCCGAGTGTTTTCTTAGCATTTAAAATTTGGCACAGATATTGAAATATGCACAAATAAGTACCACAGCAAAAAGCTGTCAAATTGTATGCTTAAGAATTGCCTGCTTTCATTCGCATAGCCCAATGAATTCATTTGGATTAGTTTGKATAAGTATTTGAAATGAACACATTTGAAAACCATCAAAATATTTTTAAAGCAGTCTTTTCCACCAATAGGATGAACGAAACTGCCACTGTGACTACCTTGTAGGAGCTAGTGACATACTACAAGACCCTGCTTTGATTATTTTTCCTCCTGTTACTGATGGTAACTCCTCTTCATCCTCAAAGAAGACAGACTGGAATAAAAACTGGGAAGTGAAGAGCATGTGCCACAGGAGTGGGACAGCACTCTGCTGTCATCCATTTTAACTCAGTTTGATGGTAAAGGTACCTCACCGGGGWGAACTTGTAGTTTGAACCTAGAAAGGGAAGTATTTCTTTATTCCACTGCACAGTCTGATTGAAACCTGTACAGAAACGACAACATGAATTCCCAAATTTGGTTTGGAAAGTCAACAACAGCTCATAAGGCTGTGATGGGCAACAGCCGATTGGTGGGAAATGACTGTAGAACTACTTCAGTAGGATAGTGAATAATTGTTAACTGATAATGTTTCCTCTCCCAATGAATGGGAGAAATTTAGAATTAGGATATTTAGCTTTGTAACGTAATGCCGGTTGAGCAAAAAAGAAACAAAATCGAAGTTTCAGTGGGTAGGTAGTGAGGCAAATAGCAACGCAGCAATTAATGTAGCAATTAATTGCCCATTGAACTGCTACGTGTTATCCACAGGTAAGGAACAGAAACCCACAAACTTGTACCTCTCACAACAAGAAATTGAAATTTCAAACCTTCCCTTTAACCTTTAATATACAGCTGGCAGCAGCCAGTCTTTCTTCCTTCTACAACTCCAGACTGCGGAGCTGTAACTGGAAAATGAGTAAATTGGAAAAAACAGTAAATTTGTTACTATTTAGGCACTTGGCTACCCCTGCCTTGCCCTTTCATTCAGTTATGGTCCTGTCACATCAGAAGGTGAGACAACACACGGCCCTGCAAAAGCATCTACTGCTAAAGCATGTGACAGCTGCATGAGGAACATCGAACACCGTTACATTTGCCCATACTTAGACTTCTACTGCTGTGCATATTTTCAGTAGATTCTGGGTTACCAAATCTTCTTCAAAAGTCATGCCTGTCCTACACACAGACAGATGTCTCCTCTGCACTTCACACTGGTAAACATCTGAAAGCAGCTCAAAGCTTTCTTGCTTCTGGCTGACTTCCTTCTAAAATGATTAAAATGTCTGTATGAAATAAACCTGAGCTGCTGATGGAGCAGGAAAACAAACTAAAGGATCCTTCCCTAGGGGAGAACCAAGTTTTTTATTTTCAGAACTACTAAGAAAAAGAACACATAAACCTTTTTTTTTYAAATTTATTTTTAGAAAAATCACAATGTTGGTAGAAGGTCTTAGTAAGTAATTTTTAGGCTCACAAAAGCTGAAAAATTATTGAAGAGTCTGGTTAGCTAAAAGCTAGTTTGAGTTCCTCCTGCCACCCCTAACCATACTTATTTCTGTTTTCTCTACACTTGGCATTGGTATATCTTTTATGTAGGCAAACAATACATTTCTTTTCTATGTATTTACATAAGTCAAATGTTTATATAGAAATCACTTTTTCACTCTGAAACACACTTAAAGGTTTTAGCACTTTTATACTAAAAGCAGATGTGGGGAAAAAGAGACTTACAAATTAATTCCGTAAGAAAATACTAAAATTTGTGTAGAGCTTTGTTGCAAGCTAAGAAACACGTACAAGAAATTCTTAAATGAATTATCCTTGGCATAAATTCATATTTGAATGTACAGATATATTTACAGGTTTAATATCCAAATTAATTCATAACTTYTAAGATGTTCCATGAAATGTCACCTTCCTGTAGAACTTTTTCAGGTGGCTGAAGCCCATTAATAAGACACATATGGTAAAACTGCATGAAAATTTAATTAGAATGAAAGCCAACAAAACTGGTCAGACTATTCCTTCTTGACAGAACCAGTTATTATTCCAGATTTAGTCCTTTAGTTGTTATRAGTTGTAGTTTTCCATGTTTCCACAGATCCTTGAAACCTTCCTGTCGCTTTCAAGAGCTGCAGCACAGGTCACAAGTGCTTTCAGAGGAGGATGCAATCACAGGTCATCACCCTGAGGGCAATCCTTCACAGGTCCAAAAGCACTTCTCACATGTTTGTTATTTCTACTCTTCAGTGGATGCCTGTGGAGCGACTCTGGCTTGTTCTGGTCAGTCTTGCTGCTCGTACTTTGGAACTGYAGTACTGTTCCTGTCCATTACAGGTGCATGACAAGCCTTCTGAATTCAAAACTATTTTCTGTTAAGCTTTAAGTCTAAAGATGTTAATCCCCACTTCCAAGTACTTCATCCACAACTGTTTAGACAATGGCAAACATRAATGTCACCAGAAATACAAAAGCCAGTTATGGTTCTGATCTGCAAAACAGGCTTTTCCACAACTGACCAGCTTGTTATTTGCTAAGCAGGAAGAGCCAGAAAGGATGAAGGCTCTGTGTGCACTAACTTTGGGTTTTCTCAATCTGTACCAGACAGATGCAACAAAATAATATYCAAAAACAAAACAGAATTTTTGTCTCCTGAATGCTCAAGAACAAATATGCCTTCCCTGGCAGCTGGCCCTGGCAGCTACACAGGTTGGGTCAGCAGCACCCACCCCCAGATCCACTATCCATACACAGTGAGCCATTTGCTTTCAGGTGTCCACAACATACACCAAAAGTTGGTCGGTTAGTTGGTTCACTCACTGCGTACAGGTTATTTAAAAAAAAAAATCTGTACTGCCTGAAAGGAACAACATAACAAAAAACATTAATAGAGTATTGTTTTTGGAGAGGTAAGGAAAAGTTAAACATACTGAATGCACTTGAGACACACCCATTTGTCAAAGGAGTCAAGGAAAGAATGTAAAGGCACAACATACTTCTACACTCTTGTCATTAAGGCCAKGTATTGGTGTGCAACAGCGCTTCACAGGGCTAACCATACAGAAGTACTCAGGTCTAAGTCACAGTGCCATAGGTGTTTCAAA